TACTCATCTTCTTTCTGTGGGCGAAAATAGTTCTTAACTTTAATGCTCCTCTTATTTAACTATTGTTAACTTTAACTTTATATGTTATTTTATTTGGAACTTTATAAAAATCGTTTTGTTCTTTTCTGCAACAACTTTTCTGAATCTAAGCACAAAAATGACGTAATTGAGACGTGGAAAGTAAGTCATAGTTATAGATCAACCAAAATATTATTTGTTGATCTACGACTACGACTTACATTTCATGATACAATTACGGTCATCTTTGTAGATCCACGTTCATCTCGGAGCAGGGAGAATAAGTGCAATTGACGGAAACTTTTGAAACAAGAAAGTAACGTAACAAGTACTTCTCAGAATACATTGTTTCCTGCATGTTTTAAGTCTGACATCAGTTCCAGCAGATGACTTTAATAGAAAAACTTGAAATAAGCAGGTAGGGCACGCGAGATTGTAATTTGCAAGAACATTAGCGATAGCTGGCTTTCAGGTGACGAGATGTTTTAGTGTATAACTCATCAGCAATAATCGAACGGGATAAAGCTCGGATGATGCATATACGTCGCCGTGCATGCCTGTACGAAAAGTTTTCCTATGCATACTAATGATACTTGAGAGGTAGCTGCATAGTACACATTCAGAATAACAGTCGAAACAGCATTATAAAGAACGCGATTGCAGTATATCAGTAATTTTGTAATTGTCAGCATTTCTTATGCCTCTCATCCAACAATCTTGAGATACGCTTAATATTAAATGGATGTGTATCAAAACATTATGCTTCTTTTATTTAATCTCACATGAATGAGAAAAAAGTAGTTTCTCTTTTGAATTCTAATGATTAAGCCCATAAAAGCGCAGACTACTTGTATAATTGTAAATAATTAACGATTTTTACTAATTTTTGGGCGTTCCCAGTCAAAAATGAAATCGACATCGAATCGACGTCGATTTGACATCGATTCCATTATCATATTTCTAATTAGGTTATTAATGGGGCATAAGTCATTTTTGGAAGTTTATTCTTAACAATAACAATTTATGTTGTTAACATAATTTTGTATTCTAAAATCAATTTTCGTAAATTTTACTTGTAATTAATTTCAATATAAAAATTAATCTGTAATAAGTTATTTACTATTAACTATTAACTATTTGTTTATTTAATTGTTTAAAATTTGATTGTTAATTTACAATCAAGTTTTATGAAAGATTTTTATTATTGTGATAACTTGGGATCAGTTAAGTTATTTATATATAGACTCATTGTTTCTGTGAAAAAGTTTGGAGATCTATAATTTGTTTCAATAAAAATTCTTCATAAAAATTAAGTTAAGTGTTTATTTAATTATTTTTTTTTATGAGACAATATTTATTTTTCATCAATAGTGAAGTTGTTAAAAAAGCGTGTAACTAGATCAATGAGCAAACACATGTTTTCTAGAATTGAAGCTCATATCACAAATGAGGATTCAACAGCTTTATAATAGAGATCCTCTAATAAGAATCACGATATGAAAAAAATCATGCGTTGATTGATCCACGCAAATTCAGGAATTCCCGCCCTATATAGTGTACCTATATTCATAATTTTAAATTTCAAGATAATATTATAATTAAAATTAGATATTTAAAAGATATTAACAAATAAAAATTTTTTTATATTACATATTGAATAATGCATGCGAGAAGAGAATTGTTTAGAGAATTTCAAACTTTTTTTTTTACAAAAGCATTAAAAAAATTTAAAGATATGATTATATATCTTAAAACAAAGTTAAAATTACAAAAGTTCATTATAATATTTATAATTTCATTTATATCCCCCCCCCCTTTTAAATTTACCTAATAAATTCAGTTATGTACTTCGATATGTCTCAAGATATACAATCGATACTCTATTCGATATACTATCTGATACTAGTCTGTAATACGTGAAGAAAAAAAATAAAATTTTTTTTTAACATTTATTTTACAAATTATTATGCATCGCCATCGATTTACCATCATATTTGTTACACATACTGTACATACACAACGTTGTTATGATAGTAAATTGTGTTCCGTCACTACAGTTTAGATTTAAGATTAGTTTAGATACGCGTTAAGGTTAGACAGAGATATATTTCTCTCTGCAATATATTTCTCTCTCTGTTGTAAATTTTACTAAAACTACTACCTTGCATACAAAAGTCGATCAAATCGGTTCATGTCTTAT